TAAATAATGCCACTTTAAATAGATTCTTCTCATTACATTTCGTATTACCATTCATCTTGGCTGCTTTAGCCATGATGCACTTAATTGCACTTCACGATAGTGCTGGGTCTGGTAATCCTTTAGGTGTTTCAGGTAATTACGATAGATTACCTTTTGCTCCTTACTTCCTATTCAAAGATTTAATTACAATATTCCTATTTATAATAGTATTATCTGTATTTGTTTTCTTTATGCCTAACGTGCTTGGGGATTCAGAAAATTATGTAATTGGCGTTGGATTTAGTTACACTGTTTCCTTAAATATTTTTTTGTATATCTGTCCTATATTGGTTTTTCTTGTGTATTTTTATCTTATCTGGTAATATTTTTACAGTGTCTTCAAAAATAATACCACTTCGTGCACCTCTATCTAAATTAAATAACTTTAAAACCATGAAAGCACCCAAAAATATTAGATATTATACTACTTCTATAAACCTTAGTGAGGAGAGTTCTTCTCACGCACATTGTGAAGAACCGGTGCTTTCATCGGCAGCGACCAAGGAGTCGAGTCCTCTTAATCCGTGATTCATAACAGGGTTCGTGGATGGGGAAGGTTCTTTCATCCTTAAGGTAAGTAAAGCCCCTAGATATCGGACAGGTTGAAGAGTTGAAGCTATCTTTATTATTGGTATTCACCAAAAAGATTTACCCCTATTGGAAGAAATTAAAGCTTATTTAGGGGATATAGGTATAATCACTTTAAAAAGGGGTGATATGGTCCATTTAACTGTTTCCTCTATAAATGATTTATCTGTAATCTTGACCCATTTTAGTAACTATCCTTTAATTACACAAAAGAAGAGGGATTTTTAATTATTTAAACGTGCAGTTGAAATAATGAAAAATAAGGATTATAATAAAACTCTTGATGGAATTCAAGATATTGTAAACCTTAAAGCATCTTTAAATCTAGGATTATCTCAGCAATTAAAAGAAGCTTTCCCTCAAACAATACCTGCGGTTAAACCCATAACTATAACTCAATAAATTCCCCATCCCGAGTGAATTGCAGGTTTCACCTCCGCAGAGGGTTGTTTCTCTATGTTTTTTTTTCTTATTTTATCTACGATAAAATAAGAAAAAAAAAAAAAAAAACAATAAGGAAAAGCCCTACTAAGACCGGATTTAATGTCGAATTAACTTTTACATTAACTCAACATATTAGAGATGAGCAGTTATTGAAAAGTTTCGTTGCCTATTTTGGTTGCGGTAGTTATTATAAACATAGTAATTCAAACTATGGGTGATTTAGATATGGAAATATTACAGATCTAGATGAAAAAAATAATTCCTTTCTTTAAAGAATTTAAAGTAAGAGGTGTAAAAGATTTGGATTTAAAAAACTGAACGGAAATTGCGAATATTATTAAGACTAAAGCTCATCTAACACCCCAAGGTTTATCTCGTATTCAAGAGATTAAGGGGCAGGTATGAATCGAAGTATAACTTAATTTTAGCCCCCCTCCTAAAAGGAGTCCGTCGGGAAACCCCTCGGGCTAATGTTATCAGGATAGATAGCAACAATTTATATATAATTGAAACTAGTGTAACTAAAGCTAGTTACTGTGGAAGTGAACCTTCTGCTACAAACCATCAAATTGTCGGGAAGTCCCTAAAGCTGTTTCAACCAAATAAGAATGGTAACATATCTTATGGCACAGGTAATGACTCGTGGTACGGTAAAATCGACACAGATTATCATAATATATGATAAATGGGTAATCCGCAGCCAAGTACCTATCATCTTAGGTATGCAGTCCATCGACTAGATGTTGGTTGGCTTTTTTTTTAATTAGCTTAAGATATAGTCAAGCCCCACTCGAAAGAGTGCAGGAAATCTTTATTATTTCCGTTAAATGGATAGTTTAAACCTATTCAGGGGGTAAGGCCTTAGGTGTATCTGTTATTTATTTACTTTCTATACTTGTTTAAAGACTGAAAGTAATGACCTTTCTATCTCTCATAAGGAATCAACACTTATTGAACCTGATATGGTTAAACCTGCTACTAAAGGTAAGTTAGGTAATAAAGAAATGACCCTTTCAGAAGTAAAGGGTTGATTCTTAACCAAAAAAAATAATTTTTATTGTACAGGTAA